CCCCAAAACCCCAAAACCCCAAAACCCCAAAACCCCAAAACCCCATATAATTTTATTCCTGTTGAGCCATCTTCTGCAATGAAGGCATGGAGAAGTCATAAAACAGGCTGCCTGCAGGATAACATGCTTGCGTGCTGACTAGAGGCTGCCTTTGGGAGGTCTTTTGGTCCCCATTATTGAATGTTCAAACAGTTCTCCCAAATGAAGTTGTAATTGACTCTAAGTACTGCTGAGCGCCTCAGAACCCGAAATAATCTTATACGAGCTAGAACAGTTGGTGTTTATTCGTCTTTTGACAATTTCAGGCTTTACTATTACATTTCTGGACCAGAAATGCTCTCCATGTAAAAATGGGACATCTCCTAAGTTATAGAACATAAACTGTATATAGTGCATCTAAATTACAAGAGTCATCCAAAAATCTCATTAGAGGTTTCTCGCCTTAAAATAAATATGCAAAGGTGCACAGAATGGAGATCTAAGAAGCTCCTTGAGCTTTTTAAAGAGACTCCTGATCCTAGATATAAAATTCACAAATCTTCTCACGAGAATTTGTGCAAAATGGCGGTTAAACAAAGATGATCAGCCAAGCTGGTGAAAACAATTAAGTCATTAATTCATCAAATTAAAATTCATGCATCAGATTTTTTGAACGAGTCTTCTTTCTTCATTGTTCTTGAGCCAAAGCTCGGGAAATTTGGCTAAGGTTGGGCAAACTTGGCTTCTCAGAAAGGCATCTAGTTTATTAAGTCCATTCCTCTTCTGAAAATCAAAGCATTTCGCCTTAATTTAGCTATATTTTGGAGAATTTTATTCTCTTATCGTCCTAGCAACAATTGGTGCTCTGAAGAGTCTGTGGATCTTGAGGGGATAACTTTGCAAACATTTTTATGCTGATTTAATTAAGAACAACATCCATATCTTGTATAAAAGCTTCGTATCCATATCTGCTAACTTATGAGACTTAACCATTTTATTTGTAGAGACACCTAGAGCTGCTAAAATCACACTGAAGGCGCCCTAAAAATTAACCATTGCTTCTTAGTGACTACAAAGACTCTTAATACGGAATTAACTTCCTTGAAGTTCTTCAATATCAAATTCATCGAGAAAATTGCGGAAAAATAATGGAACTTCTTTATCAGCCTTCATTTGGGTTTAAAATTATTCCTGTGTCATGTTTAAATAAAATTCATAATTTTTGAGCTCTTTTATGTCACTCACAGATGTCTAGTTGCTATAAAAATCCAAAATTTAGTATCATTGACTTGAGAAATAAGTCAAGAATATATTAAAAAGTGAGATACGTGGTATAAAACTGTGGGGATTACCTACCTTGCTGAATATTCCGCTTAATAATTTTAACCTCTGCTTTTATAGATTATTTCATTTAATAAGAAATTATGAATATTTTCAGTGACACACTTCTGGACAACAATCTTTTCCGCTAAACCTCTGGTGCCACTGGGAGATTCCTGAATGGTTATGAAGAGAGATGACAGACTTCGTAGAAATCTGATCTTCCTTTATGGCTCTTTGAGAAGATTCTTGTCTCACAAAACCTTGTATTTTCTTACAAAATCCTTTCAAGATTATTGACCTGAATAGCAAATTCATGTGGTTTCTCCCAATTGCTCCATTTCATGGATGGATCTTTCAGGTCATAAAATCTTTCCTAGCTTATCAGATCCATCCTAGACACCTAAATTCTTTGAATAACCAGGAGTCTGCTAAGGCGGTGTCTTCAAAATTTCTGAAAATTAAACAGTTAGAGGTTATAGCTAAATATGTTTGATTTCTCATAAAAATTATAATGCTCCTCTGCCTTCTGCCTTAGGATGTATTTGGAGATATTTTTACATGAAATGATATTAATTCAGCTTTTTGGTCAATAAACAAACAAAAAGATGCTGAAATCTCAAAGTGTCTTTACTCATCCTAATGATTGCCAATAGGCGAATATGCTCATAGTTTTATAAGATTTGATTCTATGAATATAATCAGACCTTTATTTAGCCGAAATTATGAAGATTTAGCTCAGTATCTAGCCATACAATGAACTTTCTTTTCCATATTGGAAAATAATTTGCGAAGTGATTAATTCTGTCACATTCTTTTCTTCGTCCCAGAATTTGCAGCAAATCATTAAACCTTAGAGTACATATGATGTACGAGAATATTATGAGTGCACTTAAATTTATTATGTATGAAGGAAAAATCCTAAAGGCCATATAGATAGGTTAATCTAACAAAAGCAAACCGAAGATTTTCTCAATGGTCATCTTCATAAGTTTTGCTCTCATTTGGATGATTTTTGGATTTCAAAATTTCTTCTTGGCAACCTCTTGAAGATTTGCCGAATTCTTAGATGGTTTTTAACCATTCCTAAAGTTCAGGATTGAACTAGAAACATTAAGAGCTTCCCTTATGCCTTAAACTAGTTTGGGATTAACCAGAAAATTATTATAGTTTCTCTCTGCCAATTTAATTTGTTCCAGGAACGTCCAAGGCTTAACCAAATTATGAATTCGGGAAAACCCATGGTTGGAGGGGGAAATTAGCCTGCTCCTGAAGTTTAAAGACTTCTAGGGGTTATCTTGACATCAAATCCTCATTTCCTGAGTAACCTACTTTACTGAGGAGAGTACTTTGTTAATTACCAAATGTCCAACAATGTCTCTTATTGAACCAGATTCTCGCCCAAAAATATCCAAATAAAAGAATTTTCTGATGCTCATTTCACTTCTCGATCCCGAATTTCAAAATAAAATGGAGATTTGTTGGCTTTCAGAAAGAAATCCTAGCTGTTTCTCGTTCTTGGAGTTGAAAAACAGAAGAAATCTGATTTAAAAACACTGAATCAGAAAGAAAATATCAGTAAATTAATCAATTTTTGTGTATACAGCGAAGATTTCCTGGGTTATCTCATCACTAGTCTTCAGAATCGCTGGAATTGCGACATAACCGATCTCAATGTCCCTTTCAACTTCCTGAGTAGCAATAAAATGGGTGTCTGAGGGCGGAAACCAAATTTGAGGATATTTTCAGAAATAACAGAAAGAGAGGCAGTAAATCTCACTGTTTCTCTCTGAAGATTTGAGTCGAAACTCAATAAAATCGTAGGTGAAACACATGAATTTTCTGATTTGAAACTTAGAAGGTATGATTCTGAGGAAAACTTCTCGATTACAATTCACTTCCCATCTGAGCACATTCTGAACTCAAGATGGTAGTTAGAACAGAATTCGAATTGTAGGGCTCTCTGAATAAGTACATCTACAACCCCATCCTAGAGAACGAAATATGGCTAGGTTATCACCTCAAGAGTGATAATGAGAATACTCTTAAATTACCCTAACTTCCCTCTTATCCAACCGATCCATCCCTTTCCCTTAAAGATCCTCTCCCAAATTCAAAATTTCTATCTACTCCTTCTGCATTTTCCGTACTAAAAACCTGCCATTTTTGATTCATCTGCTTGATTCACCTAATCGGACATCTCCAAATCTAATATCCTTTAGGAGTCATTCAAGAAGCTTCCTTTCTGAAATGCCCAGACATTTTAAAGACCTTATCAGCCTCTTTAGTACTTTTGCAGTGTAAATTACTAGGAAATCCGCACAAATTTTATTCTGAAAACCCCATCTTTGTATTTATTTTATTTGCCAAGAAACGGGCTATTACTAGTAAATGGAAAACCTACGGATTTGGCTGGGATTTAGAGAGGTTTAATGGGTTTTTAGATAAATTTAAGCTGGAGAAATAAGTATTAGAGGTGTTAAAGAGTAAGTTAAAAGAGATTAAGCATGTTTTACACTTATCTATCTCATTCAAAATATATCCATGAATTGAGGCAGATTCGTTGAAATCCAGGCGATGAGGAATTGATAGGTTAAGACACATAAGCAGGGTTTATTATGGACCCTATTCGATCGAAAATTGGTTATTTTAATAGATTTTAAGCTTTATGAACGTCTAAAGTCATTGTCTTTGAGGGAGATATCGGTTTTAAGGATGTTTAAAACTGCTGTTATGAAGAAATTGCGGGAAATTAGAAATGAAAGATTTAGGATCTCTCCTATCTTTTCTTTCCTTACCAAAATTTACCTAAAGCATTGAGGAATGTTAAGGAAGAAATATATTTATCCAATAGATAAAAACTTCGCGATAAAATTGATGAAAATGCGACATTTGTAACCTAATTCTGCATAACTCTACTAAGACACTACCTCAGAAGTTCTACTCAATGGCATCTGATAGCTATTAACTGTCTCTAAACATTGATATCTATCTCTGGACTAGACTATTTCCAATAGGGGAGAATAAGCATAAAGTTTGAGATCCAAAAGATGTTAAATTTTAATCAAGATTTTAACTTAAAATAAACTTGGATGCAAAAGATGTCCGAATTTAAGAATATAGTAGGGAAGCCCCTCTAATGTCTATCGGTAAGTAAACTAGTGAAGAAATGCTCTGAATGTAATCTTGGCATAAATTAATCATTAAAGGTGTGTTTTCTCGACATAATCATGAATCTAGCTGTCCCAATACCAAGAAGAAGAATAATTCTGACTAGTTGATTCACCAATTTCGCATTTAATGAAAATTTTGGGCCAGACCGATGAAGATTTCTATTGTAAAGAGCCTTTAGTCAGATTGACTAGGAAGTTGACTGAGCAGTATGAAGAAATCTGAGCAGGATAGACCCCAGCCTACTGAGCCATTAAGGTTTACCCATGTTCCGAATCTTTCGGTGAAGCTTTCTAGTAAGTTCTAGACACCCTCAGCCAATGGAGAAATTTTAGTAAGATCAGTTTAGTGGAAAAGGAAAATTTTTCTTAGTAAAAACTAATTTAGAATTTTTTAAGTAGGGATTCCTTCATATTGGCATTCAGATCAACTGCCTCCAGCAGTTTGGTGTCAAGCCTAAGTCTGACCTTATCTTCGGCTGGTACTGTTACACCTCGGGAGACTGCTTCAAAATTCTCTTCATCTTCACTTGAACTCTCAGGGGAAGAGCCAAAGCTTTGACTGAAGTCACTTTCAGAGAGCCATCTTTCTCTTTTCTCCTGGTTTTTATTTCGGATCTCATCAGTAAGCTGGTTTAGGAGTTGGTCTACCTCTTCATTGTCAAAATTAAACTTGTTCATATTATTCCAAATGTATAGAAAATTTATTAATTATATTTCAGCAGATTTTTATTGTATTGGGGTTTTGGGGTTTTGGGGTTTTGGGGTTTTGGGGTTTTGGGG